CTGCGGCATGGTATCTCAGTGAGCTAGCACTATAAATCGGCATCAGTCCAGACTAGTAGAAGCAGCCACACAAACACACACACGTACATGCACGTCACTATATAAGTGCAATAATCTTGGACGCAACGTTAAACCCCATTTCCCCTCACCCATTCATTAGCAACAGCCCTGAACAGTTGTTATCCATAAAAGATCCATGTCTTCCATCGTCTAAATGCCTATCAAAGACTTCGACATTTTTATCTTTTTTTAATACTATCAGTGAAGCAAACACTAAAACAGTTTGTCTAGTTGAAAGATAGTTTTCCTTTTTCTACTGGTGTCCATTCTGTAAAAATATATAAAAATACAGAAAAACATGTAAGAGTCTTCATTGAGCGTATTGCCAACTGATAACAAAAAGAAAACCATTTCATGGTTGTATCTCATACTTATAACTACATTTTTGTCCAATGGAAAACAAGTGCAAAGAACAGTGTGGCACAATTTTGTTTGCGGTGTGAGGATGATCGTCCTTGAGGCGGTAGAGTACAGCTGTAGCTGCAGTTCCCAATATGATGGTACACAACCACAAACCCACGCTCTTCTAGATTGCTCTTTAAAGCCCGGACATATTCTTCTGCACCGACTTCAGCAAACTGATTCCAGGGTTTTAATTTTACATCTGCCTCTTTGGTGGATTTCGCACAAACACAAACATGATTCACATCAAACTCCTCACTTTTAGGTTTGTGTTCCGACTCTAAAGCCGACACTACAACTGTAGTGGAGGGGTAACTTTTATGCATGATTTCCGGATTTCCTGCCTGGTGTAAAATTTCATTCAAGGCTCCTGGAAATCCATCTAAACGGGAGTAAAATTTATCTCTCATTAATTTGGCCATTATTGACGGCTGTAGTTCAAGTTCGTGAATGAGATCATTGAGTCCGAAGTAAACAGCATCCTTGTACACTTTTTCCATTAGAGACACAGGCGGTAGTTCATTGAGGCGGAGATAGCGTAATATGTGTTCAAACGATTCCCCGTCTGCATCGATGAAGTAGCGGCCATCTTTGTCATGGATGCATGGGAATTTCCCACTGAACATGGTCCCCAGCATGGTGTCCTGGTGTTTGGTCAGTGTCAAGTGGGTGGTGCTGAAGTGACGCCCGCCTACATTCAGTTCAATAATGTTCGGGAATCCCTGAAAGTAAAGTCAGGATATTCACATTCATCAGTATTTTGTCTTTGAATTACAAACTTTGATGCAATCTCATTAAAATCAGATCTTAGTTCTCGCTGCCGCTAAACAAAGATCTGAGGACGTCCCATTACGGGTCACGTCAGACCGATCTTTCGCAAACTCTGACCAACCAGTGGAATTACTGACCAGAACTCGACATTAGCCAATCAGAAGGCAGCTTTCTCGTGCTTTACGGCACTAATTTCAAATTGGCGACTACGCTTCGAAACATATTTTGACAAATTCTCGCTTAAAAATTTGAAATCTGAACAAAAAGCATTCTCGAATGGCTCATAGATGGGCTAGAATGTATAGATTCAGTTCTTAAGCCCGTTACTATCGTTCGGAATACCCCATTTTAAAGTTTTCGAGGCTGCATGATTAGAAATCACATTCTGACTGTCACTTTCATGATCTGGAATGCGACGTTCTGATGTGACCCCTAATGGGATGTCCTCAGATCTTTGTTTAGCGGTAGCGAGAACTAAGATCTGATTTTAATGAGATTGACTTTGATGTAGCCATGTCTATAATATATATGTACGACAATATAGCTTATCTACAGGAAGCTCTAACATTCCTAAGTAACAAATTGGAATGTACCTTGTATTGATTGGACCAGAACTGGCTCCCATGGCAATCAGCAGCCAACTCACACACAGGAATACATAGACATATTTGGCATAGCCAGACACTTGTATCATAAAAGAACTTATATAATGTTCATAAATAAAGATTGACGAGTGTTCATATTAGACACCCACTACATTAGCTACACAAGGGGCACCATGGTCCAGGGTCTCTTCCCATCTTGCAGTATTGGAGGCTGATGTTATTAGAATCTTAATTTGCACCAATGTCTCCCTATGATCACGATCATATGCATAATACATAAAGTTGGCAGAATTAGTACCTATATACCTTATACTGACCCAGAAGATGTTATACATGTCGATATGGAAACAGCATAGGTGAGGTGATGTGAGCTAAAGTGAGGTGAGGTCTAACATAATATACTATTATTTTACTTATATACCAACATGCGTATAGGTTTGTGTCTGGTTGAACTAGTCTGGACTGGTTTTATAGTGCTAGCCCACTGAGATACCAGGCTGTAGATTACATAGAAACCCACTCAAACACAGTATTTGGACTCCGAGCCAACCAGACCTTGTTTTATCCCGAAATGCTTGGCACCAGGCTGGGTAACAACAAGTACCATCTTTTCAAGTCTTTTGGTGTTGTGTTTTTTCTTTAGTACAAATCCGAAAATGCCCAAATCGATTTTAAGGTATTTTTGTGCATTAATATCATAAAATGGAATACCAACTCGTACATAAATGATATATTTACGAGTTGTTCACAGCTAGTGTATTAATAAGCCCATTCCTGACTTCGGTCTTTACATACGAGTAAAATACGATCAACAGTGGTGCAAATTAAACAATCAATCACGACCTTGTCGTTTCCTCATTCGTCTGCCCCACTTCCTGGCTCTGCATTCTCGCGCTTATGTGGTACATCAGAGATGTAAGCCTGTTCAAGGTCTAACGGTAACCGTGTCACTGACAGTGACCTTCTTTGACACATTTTCGTACGGAAGTGTGGTGGAATTGTTAGTCAAAAGGTTAAATAGAACCTCAAGGCACTTAACAAATGCATGCTGTAAATGATTTCATAATGTAAGTAGGCACTAACTTGCGATTCCTCTGTCATTTCCCCTTCCACGTTGACAGCCATTTTCAGTGTTTACAAACATTACCAAGGGGACGCAACTCTGTCGACATTATCAAAACTTAATATTCGTACTTCGAGCATGATAACAGAGGATCGGTTCCAGTAGTCATTTTATTCCAAGATATTTTTCTGAATCTGATAATGTTACTTTATACTTCATTTTATAAACTATTTTTCACACTATTTGTACAAAAGGTCTTCCATGTAATTTGCAATCAACCACATTAAACCTTTTTTGTGTGTAAATAATTAACCATAACCAGCCTTCAAGTGTCTAAAGTTTGTATGCTAATTTCTCTATCTCATAGTATCTGGATGATCAATTTTTTTCTAAATATAAATAGAACTGGTTCAATCAAAACGAATGACATGTTTGTTTAGCCCAAAATCTTGAGTCCCACATAAAAAAAAGTGAGTTTACTTTGTAACAAAAAAAACTGACTGAAACTCAATTCACTTAAAACTGATAAATGATTCAATAACACGAATAATAAACGGTTTGTTTGTTTTTTAAATAACTAAGTACAGTTAGAGCCTATACCCAGATATACTCTTAGGCCTAAAAAAGACATTTTTCAGAAAAGTATCATTTGATTAGAAAATATGTATTTTTATAATAAATGTAAAACTTTCATACTTATTATACAAATAATTTAAATGATATCATTACAAACTTTGTATAACATCATTACATCCAAACCTTTTGCAGCCAAATAGATGCAGCTTATACTTATACAAATTAAACATGTGTAATGAAGACAATAGGAGCAGCGAGGTAGCCTTGTGGTTAAAGTGTTTGCTTGTCACTCCCACGACACAGGTTCAACTCTCCATACAGCTGCAATGCGTTTTTCAAGAGGCTATGGAGAAAAGGCTCCCATAGCAGCTTGGATTTTTTGTTATTAATTTCAGAGATGTTGATGACCATTTCATCAGCTGTTCGAAATACATTCAGGGAGGTTAATCGTCTTTGGTTGTAGGCGGAGTGATATTCTTTAATCAAATTTATTTCAAGTAACAGGTTAGTGTGCTATCACTTCAAAGGACAGTCACAAATCTATTTTCTTGTAATATACAATCCAAAAGATGTGGAAATAAGAATAGTTTCTGAACTTTTTCAAAGATTGTGTGCATTTTGTGATCACAACTTCTAATAAGGCTAAGAAAAATAATAGTCTTGGTTCTCAGGCACTGCCCACATCATCATAAAGTTCATTGCACGTTTCATTTTTGTTTCCATTTTCAATTTTTTTTAACACTGTGTTTAAGTATTAGGATTTTTATATTTTTTTGAAAATGGAAATAAAAACAAAATGTGCGGCAGACTTTATGATGATGTGGATGGTACCTGAGAACCAAGACTATTATTTATTTTAGCCTAAGCAATGCAAATGCAAATAATCCTCATAGCAATTTGCATGAGATACTTACTGTTAAACTCACATGAGGTAGTTAAATAATACTAATGCATGGATATCAGTAATACGCTATCGATCCATTGACCCATGCACAAAGCGCTAACACCTTTATTAGCCAGTCAGTGGGTCAGTGCACTGTGTATATAGTGCTGTTGTCTTTGGTAAGATCATCCTAACAAATAAAGACATGACAATTCACAGGTGTTTTGTGCTGTATTCAAGGAAATGCTGGTGCCGAGTTCAGTCCCTTCTCGGGAGCGCGTATCACATACTGGCAGGTATCTTGTGCTACATATCGAGCCCTGAACCTGCAGTGTAGGCCAACTGAAACGTAGTTGATGAAAATGGAGAAGCTGGTGACTGTAAATTAGGTTCTGTGTTCATGGAAACCACATTACACAATGTCCAGTTTAAACGGGGCAGTCGGGTAGCCTCGTGGTTAAAGCGTTCTCTCGTCACGCCAGGACCCAGGTTCGATTCCCGACATGGGTAAAATGTGTGAAGCCCATTTCTGGTGTCCCCCGCCGTGATATTGCTGGAACATTGCTAAAAGTGGCGTAAAACCCTACTCACTCGAGTTTAAACAGACCCCAGAACTGTGGAGGGACAACAAAAGAACACATGAAGCAATAATTTCCTTTATTCAAGCGTGCCGCCATCACACAGCGGGTCTGGAGGTAGGATAACATCATATATACAAATAAATATACAATTGTCTGGTCAAACATTAAGAATGAAATAGCAAGAAAGTGTCCAGCTGTCCTCATCTTGCTATAGATGCATCAGGTCAATTCTTCTTGTCAGCTCACCTTCCAATGCACTCTGTTGGAGAGAAAGGTGTGGTCAGCAGAGGGAGACACCATCGGTCATATCCAACTCGTCCGCTGCTCATTTCAGACAAGTGGTTATGTAAAGTAACTAGATTTTTGGATAAAAAAACCAAGTCCATCTAGATTGTTATTCCCTGTGGTGTCATTCACAAGTGGGGAACTCATACTCCCGGTCCCATTCAACAAAGTGATGTTAGTGCTATCATGAATGTCTATGTTAAAGTATGGGAGTTATGATCGTTTTAGCTCTACAATCGCTTTGTGGAACCAGGGCTTTGTATCTTTCTTATGTTATTTTAAAAACAGCCTCTACAGTGGGTCTTTCTTTGCAGACACCCCCCAAAGCTTGAAGACTAAATATGGAGGTAAGAGATTTTTAGCTCATTTCTTAACTTTACATCATTGCAACATGATAGACAAAATTCTTGATTCATAAATAATGTTGTTGAACAATGTTGACGGAGGTAAATTCATCAAAGTAGCATGTGAATGAGTTTAAGACAAAACTGAAAGTTTGTATCAACTTAAGAATATGCATTACATTCTTACACAAAAGTTACATGTTATTCAAAACTTACCACTTGCTGTTTGAGTTCTTCTATCTTCACCTTGGTCTGCGATAAATCCTGAAGAAGAAATAACAGGAAGTATTCAAAAGAAATATTCAGCTCCAAATTCCTTTCAGATTAACAGCAATATTTAAAAGTTTTCGACAAGAAGTACAGAAATTCTGGGATACACATAGTGAAACATTATCTACATTTGTATACTTATCTGAATTATGTTTGTGGCTTGTGTGCATGATGTTTGTGGCTTGTGTGCATGATGTTTGTGGCTTGTGTGCATGATGTTTGTGGCTTGTGTGCATGTTTGTGGCTTGTGTGCATGATGTTTGTGGCTTGTGTGCATGTTTGTGGCTTGTGTGCATGATGTTTGTGGCTTGTGTGCGTGATGTTTGTGGCTTGTGTGCATGTTTGTGGCTTGTGTGCATGATGTTTGTGGATTGTGTGCATGTTTGTGGATTGTGTGCATGATGTTCCTGGCTTGTGTGCATGTTTGTGGATTGTGTGCATGATGTTCGTGGCTTGTGTGCGTGATATTTGTGGTTTGTGTGCATGATCTTTGTGGCTTGTGTGCGTGATGTTTGTGGTTTGTGTGCATGTTTGTGGTTTGTGTGCATGATCTTTGTGGCTTGTGTGCGTGATGTTTGTGGCTTGTGTGCATGATCTTTGTGGCTTGTGTGCATGTTTGTGGCTTGTGTGCGTGATATTTGTGGATTGTGTGCATGATGTTTGTGGCTTGTGTGCATGATGTTTGTGGCTTGTGTGCATGTTTGTGGATTGTGTGCATGATGTTCCTGGCTTGTGTGCGTGATGTTTGTGGCTTGTGTGCATGTTTGTGGTTTGTGTGCATGATCTTTGTGGCTTGTGTGCATGTTTGTGGATTGTGTGCATGATGTTCCTGGCTTGTGTGCATGTTTGTGGCTTGTGTGCATGATGTTTGTGGCTTGTGTGCATGATGTTTGTTGCTTGTGTGCATGTTTGTGGTTTGTGTGCATGATCTTTGTGGCTTGTGTGCGTGATGTTTGTGGCTTGTGTGCATGATGTTTGTGGCTTGTGTGCATGTTTGTGGATTGTGTGCATGATGTTCCTGGCTTGTGTGCATGTTTGTGGATTGTGTGCATGATGTTCCTGGCTTGTGTGCATGATGTTTGTGGCTTGTGTGCATGATGTTTGTGGCTTGTGTGCATGTTTGTGGATTGTGTGCATGATGTTCCTGGCTTGTGTGCGTGATGTTTGTGGCTTGTGTGCATGTTTGTGGTTTGTGTGCATGATGTTCGTGGCTTGTGTGCGTGATATTTGTGGTTTGTGTGCATGATCTTTGTGGCTTGTGTGCGTGATGTTTGTGGTTTGTGTGCATCACGTCTGTGGCATATGTGCAAAATTTCGGTTTATATAACACCATAGACTGTAAGACAGTATATTACAAGTTAATCCGGAAGACATGTTTTATACTTACAGGTGGCAGATCATAGTACATCTGCAATTTTGTTCTCAGAGGGGCTATTTTCTGCTTCAGAGCCTGGAGTTCCTACAACATGAAGAAAATCACCAACATGTAAGGGAGACAGGAGGGAGCCATGGTGATAGTAACCAAACTCAAGTCTTGTTTGCGTTTTATTTGTTTTAAAATATTTGAAAAAGGTTCCATAACCTGATTCAAAAATGTAAAGTTTGAAAGTTAAAAACCTCATGCCAACAGTTTCGATGGAAAGATGTTGTTCGACTGTTCACAAACTCTGTTTAGGTGTGATGAGGGGGGTACAACGAGGGGTCACTGTTTGGTGTGATGTGGGTGGTACAAGGAGGGGTCACCGTTTCGTGTGATGTGGGGGGTACAGTGAGGGGTCACTGTTCGGTGTGATGAGGGGGGTACAAGGAGGGGTCACTTTTTTGTTGTGATGTGGGTGGTACAAGGAGGGGTCACTGTTTGGTGTGATGTGGGTGGTACAAGGAGGGGTCACTGTTTGGTGTGATGTGGGTGGTGGTACAAGGAGGGGTCACAGTTTGGTGTGATGTGGGTGGTACAAGGAGGGGTCACTGTTTGGTGTGATGTGGGTGGTACAAGGAGGGGTCACTGTTTGGTGTGATGTGGGTGGTGGTACAAGGAGGGGTCACTGTTTGGTGTGATGTGGGTGGTGGTACAGTGAGGGGTCACTGTTTGGTGTGATGAGGGGGGTACAGTGAGGGGTCACTTTTTTGTTGTGATGTGGGTGGTACAAGGAGGGGTCACTGTTTGGTGTGATGTGGGTGGTACAATGAGGGGTCACTGTTTGGTGTGATGTGGGTGGTACAAGGAGGGGTCACTGTTTGGTGTGATGTGGGTGGTACAAGGAGGGGTCACTGTTTGGTGTGATGTGGGTGGTACAAGGAGGGGTCACTGTTTGGTGTGATGTGGGTGGTGGTACAACAAGGGGTCACTGTTTGGTGTGATGTGGGTGGTACAAGGAGGGGTCACTGTTTGGTGTGATGTGGGTGGTGGTACAAGGAGGGGTCACTGTTTGGTGTGATGTGGGTGGTGGTAAAAGGAGGGGTCACTGTTTGGTGTAATGTGGGTGGTACAAGGAGGGGTCACTGTTTGGTGTGATGTGGGTGGTACAAGGAGGGGTCACTGTTTGGTGTGATGTGGGTGGTACAAGGAGGGGTCACTGTTTGGTGTGATGTGGGTGGTACAACAAGGGGTCACTGTTTGGTGTGATGTGGGTGGTACAACGAGGGGTCACTGTTTGGTGTGATGTGGGTGGTACAACGAGGGGTCACTGTTTGGTGTGATGTGGGTGGTACAAGGAGGGGTCACCGTTTCGTGTGATGTGGGGGGTACAATGAGGGGTCACTGTTTGGTGTGATGTGGGTGGTACAAGGAGGGGTCACTGTTTGGTGTGATGTGGGTGGTACAAGGAGGGGTCACTTTTTTGTTGTGATGTGGGTGGTACAAGGAGGGGTCACTGTTTGGTGTGATGTGGGTGGTACAAGGAGGGGTCACTGTTTGGTGTGATGTGGGTGGTACAAGGAGGGGTCACTGTTTGGTGTGATGTGGGTGGTACAAGGAGGGGTCACTTTTTTGTTGTGATGTGGGTGGTACAAGGAGGGGTCACTGTTTGGTGTGATGTGGGTGGTACAAGGAGGGGTCACTGTTTGGTGTGATGTGGGTGGTACAAGGAGGGGTCACTTTTTTGTTGTGATGTGGGTGGTACAAGGAGGGGTCACTGTTTGGTGTGATGTGGGTGGTACAAGGAGGGGTCACTGTTTGGTGTGATGTGGGTGGTACAAGGAGGGGTCACAGTTTGGTGTGATGTGGGTGGTACAATGAGGGGTCACTGTTTGGTGTGATGTGGGTGGTACAAGGAGGGGTCACTTTTTTGTTGTGATGTGGGTGGTACAAGGAGGGGTCACTGTTTGGTGTGATGTGGGTGGTACAAGGAGGGGTCACTGTTTGGTGTGATGTGGGTGGTACAAGGAGGGGTCACAGTTTGGTGTGATGTGGGTGGTACAAGGAGGGGTCACTGTTTGGTGTGATGTGGGTGGTACAAGGAGGGGTCACTGTTTGGTGTGATGTGGGTGGTACAATGAGGGGTCACCGTTTGGTGTGATGTCGGTGGTGGTACAAGGAGGGGTCACTGTTTGGTGTGATGTGGGTGGTACAAGGAGGGGTCACTGTTTGGTGTGATGAGGGTGGTACAATGAGGGGTCACTGTTTGGTGTGATGTGGGTGGTACGAGGGGTCACCGTTTGATGTTAAGGTGGTATTAGGGGTCAAAGTTTTATATGATGAGGGTAGTATGAGGGGTCACAGTTTGGTGTGATGTGGGTGGTACAAGGAGGGGTCACTGTTTGGTGTGATGTGGGTGGTACAAGGAGGGGTCACTGTTTGGTGTGATGTGGGTGGTACAAGGAGGGGTCACTGTTTGGTGTGATGTGGGTGGTACAAGGAGGGGTCACTGTTTGGTGTGATGTGGGTGGTACAAGGAGGGGTCATGGTTTGATGTGATGTGGGTGGTGGTACAAGGAGGGGTCACTGTTTGGTGTGATGTGGGTGGTGGTACAAGGAGGGGTCACTGTTTGGTGTGATGTGGGTGGTACAAGGAGGGGTCACTGTTTGGTGTGATGTGGGTGGTACAAGGAGGGGTCACTGTTTGGTGTGATGTGGGTGGTGGTACAAGGAGGGGTCACTGTTTGGTGTGATGTGGGTGGTGGTACAAGGAGGGGTCACTGTTTGGTGTGATGTGGGTGGTACAAGGAGGGGTCACTGTTTGGTGTGATGTGGGTGGTGGTACAAGGAGGGGTCACTGTTTGGTGTGATGAGGGTGGTGGTACAAGGAGGGGTCACTGTTTGGTGTGATGAGGGTGGTACAATGAGGGGTCATGGTTTGATGCGATGTGGGTGGTACGAGGGGTCACCGTTTGATGTTAAGGTGGTATTAGGGGTCAAAGTTTTATATGATGAGGGTAGTATGAGGGGTCACAGTTTGGTGTGATGTGGGTGGTACAAGGAGGGGTCACTGTTTGGTGTGATGTGGGTGGTACAAGGAGGGGTCACAGTTTGGTGTGATGTGGGTGGTACAAGGAGGGGTCACTGTTTGGTGTGATGTGGGTGGTACAAGGAGGGGTCACTGTTTGGTGTGATGTGGGTGGTGGTACAAGGAGGGGTCACTGTTTGGTGTGATGAGGGTGGTGGTACAAGGAGGGGTCACCGTTTGGTGTGATGAGGGTGGTACAATGAGGGGTCATGGTTTGATGCGATGTGGGTGGTACGAGGGGTCACCGTTTGATGTTAAGGTGGTATTAGGGGTCAAAGTTTTATATGATGAGGGTAGTATGAGGGGTCACAGTTTGGTGTGATGTGGGTGGTACAAGGAGGGGTCACTGTTTGGTGTGATGTGGGTGGTACAAGGAGGGGTCACTGTTTGGTGTGATGTGGGTGGTGGTACAAGGAGGGGTCACTGTTTGGTGTGATGTGGGTGGTACAAGGAGGGGTCACTGTTTGGTGTGATGTGGGTGGTGGTACAAGGAGGGGTCACTGTTTGGTGTGATGTGGGTGGTGGTACAAGGAGGGGTCACCGTTTGGTGTGATGTGGGTGGTGGTACAATGAGGGGTCACTGTTTGGTGTGATGTGGGTGGTGGTACAAGGAGGGGTCACTTTTTTGTTGTGATGTGGGTGGTGGTACAAGGAGGGGTCACTGTTTGGTGTGATGTGGGTGGTACAAGGAGGGGTCACTGTTTGGTGTGATGTGGGTGGTGGTACAAGGAGGGGTCACTGTTTGGTGTGATGTCGGTGGTGGTACAAGGAGGGGTCACTGTTTGGTGTGATGTGGGTGGTACAAGGAGGGGTCACTGTTTGGTGTGATGTGGGTGGTGGTACAAGGAGGGGTCACTGTTTGGTGTGATGAGGGTGGTACAATGAGGGGTCATGGTTTGATGCGATGTGGGTGGTACGAGGGGTCACCGTTTGATGTTAAGGTGGTATTAGGGGTCAAAGTTTTATATGATGAGGGTAGTATGAGGGGTCACAGTTTGGTGTGATGTGGGTGGTACAAGGAGGGGTCACTGTTTGGTGTGATGTGGGTGGTACAAGGAGGGGTCACTGTTTGGTGTGATGTGGGTGGTGGTACAAGGAGGGGTCACTGTTTGGTGTGATGTGGGTGGTGGTACAAGGAGGGGTCACTGTTTGGTGTGATGTGGGTGGTACAAGGAGGGGTCACTGTTTGGTGTGATGTGGGTGGTGGTACAAGGAGGGGTCACTGTTTGGTGTGATGTGGGTGGTGGTACAAGGAGGGGTCACTGTTTGGTGTGATGAGGGTGGTGGTACAAGGAGGGGTCATGGTTTGATGCGATGTGGGTGGTACAAGGAGGGGTCACTGTTTGGTGTGATGAGGGGGGTACAGTGAGGGGTCACTGTTTGGTGTGATGTGGGTGGTGGTACAAGGAGGGGTCACTTTTTTGTTGTGATGTGGGTGGTACAAGGAGGGGTCACAGTTTGGTGTGATGTGGGTGGTACAAGGAGGGGTCACTGTTTGGTGTGATGAGGGGGGTACAGTGAGGGGTCACTTTTTTGTTGTGATGTGGGTGGTACAAGGAGGGGTCACTGTTTGGTGTGATGTGGGTGGTACAAGGAGGGGTCACTGTTTGGTGTGATGTGGGTGGTGGTACAAGGAGGGGTCACTGTTTGGTGTGATGTGGGTGGTGGTACAAGGAGGGGTCACTGTTCGGTGTGATGTGGGTGGTACAAGGAGGGGTCACTGTTTGGTGTGATGTGGGTGGTGGTACAAGGAGGGGTCACTGTTTGGTGTGATGTGGGTGGTGGTACAAGGAGGGGTCACTGTTTGGTGTGATGAGGGTGGTGGTACAAGGAGGGGTCACCGTTTGGTGTGATGAGGGTGGTGGTACAAGGAGGGGTCATGGTTTGATGCGATGTGGGTGGTACGAGGGGTCACCGTTTGATGTTAAGGTGGTATTAGGGGTCAAAGTTTTATATGATGAGGGTAGTATGAGGGGTCACAGTTTGGTGTGATGTGGGTGGTACAAGGAGGGGT